TCAGTACTTCTTTTTTGGACCCACTGTAGCTGAAATGCTGTGCCCACGAAGAACCAGGATTGTGTCATTTCAAGAGAAAACAACTCTCAACGAGACAATGCTGCTCAGAAGGGATGGGAGGAACTGACTTAGGAAAATAAATACTACATTTTGCTCCCTCCCATGAACTGAAACAGAGTCTTCACAGATTTTTTTTTCTTCAGATCATGAATGGTTGGGATGCGAACTCCCTCCAGAGTTCTCAATGATGCTAAAACATGGTACTACTAATTCTAGAATCCAAGCTGCAGCTGTCCCTGCACTTCTATTGGATGGAAGAGATAGTATAGGGTGTGTAACTCCCTACCTCACTCTCCTATGCCACTGGGAAGGAATCTGAATCATCGGGGGGTACTAATTTACCTGGAGGTCCAATGCTTCTTGCACTAGAAGGACCTTGGCCAGTAGAGGGTGCCATTTCTAAGCCTGATGACAACTGACTGGTTGGTTGACTTCAGGGATACCAAAGAGGACTTCCAGAGCTTCAAGCTCAAGTTCTCTACAGCTCGAGCTAAAATGTCAGGATGGGTTAGCTACCCTGAGTGTGCTTCTATCTGAGATTTTAGGCATATTCTCAGGCAGTTAGCCCATACCGCTGGCTTATGCCTCTCTGGCTACAGTTCTATTTTTAGCACGCTCACTCAATCCGCGGACATGTCCATTACAGCTGGAATTTACACCTTCCATCGCCAGCGTAAACATGCCCAGAAACAGGCCATTTGATAAGAGCTCCATTGTGGATTTAGAAGCTTGACCCCCGCCAAGCCCCGAAAGTCTCGGCCCTCAACTTTTCATTATGTGCTGGTGATTTAGCTCAGATGTTAAAAACATGCTTACTCATTGATTCGGGCATGACTCACCACACATGACTTTGCCCTTTCGGGTCCAGTCCAGTGGATGGTTCGTCCAGAAGCAGAACTGTGGGTTTCCCCAACATGCTCAGTGCAAAACACACCTAAAACAAGGAATAGACATTGAGAGCCATGTTCTGTCTTCCTGAAGTCTGTGGGGATGCCTTTATGTGAGAGCAATTAACACATTTTCTTTGGAAAAAATGATGCCTGTGATTCATTTCTGTGCAGGACTTGGAAATTTTCTAATTTAGAGCAAGCAAAAAACATGTCAACCTTCGAGAGACCAGTGATTGGACTTCGTTTCCTCCACATCCACATACATGCTTGCAATGTAAGGAAGCTGAACAATCTGAACGGTGCAACGTTCTGTACTAGATTACATGGACGTAACGTCCCTCAAAGCGATGCAGCACAAAATGCCTGCCTGGGCCTCACCATTTCGTGAAAAGTCTCATCCATGCAGCTGGTATCAGAAGGAGGCTCCCTCTGGATCAATGGAATTTTTCGTTCACATTATGGATGTTTCAGAAACACGCAAGTTATTTCCTGGAGATAATTTACCAGCCATCACATAGAATCATAGTATCATAGGATTGGAAGACACCGCAAGAGGTCATGGAGTCTAACCCCCTGCCCAAAGCAATAGGTTAATTCCCAAACAGAGATGTTACTAGTGTATACTTGCAACAAACAGAACAGGAAAGGTTGGGTTCTGCTTTCATTTACACCAGTGCCAATGCACAAGGACTTTGCACTAGCTTAGTGGAGTTATTCCACTCTGGCAGAGCAGGGAGCAACATTTGCAACATTTAATCAGTGGCCTAATTTCCAAAAGTGCTGAGCACCCATCGCTCGCACTGACTTAACAAGCTATGTCTGGACTGCAGCAAGAGGGCTGGCAGCTCAAGCAGTTATATGCATGCTAGTTCTGATGAAGGCAGTTTGCTCAAAATAGAGATGTAGCTGCTGCAGTGCAAGTGGCAGGAGGGGTTAGCTGCCCTGAGAATCTCCGAAGAACATTAGAACAAAAAAATGGCCATACTGGGTCAGACCAAAGGTCCATCTAGGTCAGTATTCTGTCTGCGGACAGTGGCCAATGCCAGATGTCCCAGAGGGAGGGATCACAACAGGTAATTATCATAGAATCATAGAGCTGGAAAAGACCTCAGAAGGTCATCAAGTCCAGCCCCCTGCTCTAGCCAAGACCAATCCCAACTAAATCAACCCGGCCAGGGCTTTGTCAAGCTGAGACTTAAACACCTCTAGAGATGGAGACTCCACTACTTCCCGAGGTAACCCATTCCAGTGCTTCACCCCTCTCCTAGTGAAATAGTGATTCCTAATATCCAACCTGGACCTCTCCCACCACAACTTGAGACCATTGCTCCTTGTTCTGCCATCTGTCACTACTGAGAACAGCCTTTCTCCATCCTTTTTGGAAGCTCCCTTCAGGAAGTTGAAGGCTGCTATCAAATCCCCCCCATTCTTCGCTTCTGCAGACTAAACAGACCCAACTCCCTCAGCCTCTCCTCAAAGGTCATGTGCTCCAGCCCCCTAATCACATGATCCTTCTCCTGTCATCCATTTCCAGAGAAACGGAGGCTAAGGACAACATTCCTACCCATCCTGGCTAATAGCCATTGATGGTCCTAACCTCCATGAATTTATCTAGCTCTTTTTTAATCCTGTTGAAGTCCTAGTCTTCATAAAATCCTTTGGCAAGTTGTTCCACAGGTTGACTGTGCTCTGCATGAAGAAAAACTTTCTTTTGTTTGTTTTAAACCTGCTACCTATTAATTTCATTTGGTGACCCCTAGTTCTTACATTGTGGGAACAAGTAAATAACATTTCCTTATTCACTTTTTCCATACCAGTCATGGTTTTATAGACCTCAATCATATCCCCCCCTTAGTCTCCTCTTTTCTAAGAGGAAATGTCCAAGTCTTTTTAATCTCTCTTCATATTGGACCCATTCCAAACCCCTAATCACTTTTGTTGCCCTTCTCTGAACCTTTTCCAATGCCAATATATCTTTTTTGAGAGGAGGTGACCATATCTGTATGTGGTATTCAAGATGTGGGCGTACCAAAGTTTTATACAGAGGCAATAAGATATTCTTTGTCTTATTTTCTATTCCTTTTTTAATGATTCCTAACATTGTGTTTGCTTTTTTGACTGCTGCTGCATACTGCATGGATGTTTTCAGAGAACAAACCTCAATGCCTTGTAGATCTCTCTCTTGAGTAGTTGTAGCTAAATTAATCCCCATTATATTGTATGTATAGTTGGGATTATTTTTTCCAATGTGAATTACTTTACATTTATCAACTTTAAATTTAATTTGCAATTTTTTTGCTTAATCACTTCGTTTGGCAAGATCTTTTTGAAGCTCTTCACAGTCTGCTTTGGTATTAACTATCTTAAATTTTGCCACCTCACTGTTTCCCCTTTTCTCCAGATCATTTATAAATAAGTTGAATAGGACTGATCCCAGGACAGACCCTTGGGGGACACCACTAGTTACCTCTCTTCATTACGAAAACTTGCCATTTATTCTACTCTTTGTTTCCATTCTTTTAACCAGTTACCAATCCATGAAAGGACCTTTCCTCTTATCCCATGACAACTTACTTTATTTAAGAACCTCTAGTGAGGAACTTTGTCAAAGGCTTTCTGGAAAGCTATATCCACTGGATCCCCCTTGTCCAATTGTTTGTTGACCCCCTCAAAGAACGCTAGTAGATTAGTAAGGCAGGATTTCCCTTTACAAAAATCACGTTGACTTTCCCCCAACGTATTATGTTCATCTATGTGTCTGACAATTTTATTCTTTACTATAGTTTCAACTAATTTGCCCGGTACTGACGTTAGACTTACTGATCTGTAATTGCTAGGATCACTTCTAGAGCCCTTTTTAAATAATGGCATCATGTAAACTATCTTCCAGTCATTAGGTACAGAAGCTGATTTAAAGGATAGGTTACAAACCACAGTTAATAGTTCCGCAATTTCACATTTGAGTCCTTTCAGAACTCTTGGGTGAATGCCACCTGGTCCCGGTGACTTGTTACTGTTAAGTTTACCCATTTGCTTAAAACCTCCTCTAATGACACCTCAATTTGGGACAATTCCTCAGATTCGTCACCTAAAAAGAATGGCTCAAGTTTGGGAATCAACCTCACTCGTCACCTAAAAAGAATGGCTCAAGTTTGGAAATCAACCTCACACCCTCAGCCATGAAGACTGGAGCAAAGAATCCATTTAGTTTCTCTGTGATGAATTTATCATCTTTGAGTGTTCCTTTAGCATTTCGATCATCCAAGGGCCCCTCTGGTTGCTTACCTTTAGCATTTCGATCGTCCAAGGGCCCCTCTGGTTGGTTTGCAGGCTTTCTGCTAATGATGTACTTAAAAACATTTTGCTAGCTGTTCTTCAAACTCCTTTTTGGCTTTTCTTATTATAGGTTTACACTTAATTAAGAAAAACCCACCTTTCTAGTTACTCCAGCAGATAATTTCCTGATCGCTTTCTTTAAATGATCCTGAAGCTCCAGAGCCTTTGCTATCCTGTGCAGAAGGAGAAAGAAAGAAAGTAATATGAACATTTGATTTTCCCCACCATT